AATTTTGGGAAGACTGCTTTCCCAGCTGCAAAATGAGGGAAACAACAGCTGCTCTTCAAGGTTGCTTTAATTTGATGTAGCACAGGTTAGCAAATTGCCACATTGCAGGTTCCTTAAAGGCAAGAGCTATCTTTCCTTTCTCTTCTTATGGCCAGGTATCAGTACCCTGGGGTGGATTCTCATATGGGCAGGAATTTGATAAATATTGCTTGGTTTTATTTAACTAGGTAAGTGTCTAGCACATAGTAGACAATTAAAAATAGTAGATTTATTATTATTTAGCTCATTTCTAGCTCTGAAATTCTGTGATTTACTGATAAGATTTAAATGAAAATTACCAATAAAAGGGATAATTCTTTATTTGCCAAAGTATTGTCAGTCATCTGTTCATTCAGAGATGACGCTCATTGTCTCTTTGCCAGAGTGAAGGCCAAAGGAATTGGACAAGGAAGAGGAGAGGTAATGCAGGGTTTTAGGAGAGGCTTAGAAACGGGCCCTCTAGGACATGAGCCTGATGGGATTGGAACAGTCCTAGAATTCTGGATCCCTAGATAGTGTTGTAAGTGGGATTCTTCCAACAGCCAATCCTGAGTCAGGGTCTACCTGTCTGTGATTTATTAAGGGCATTCTCCCGGGAGAAGTTGGTAATGTGATAAGGCAGAGTAGGGAAGGGGTGCAATACCAAGTGGAGACCCAGCCTCAGCCTGTTCCCATGGGAGTTCTGGAGAATGAATTATACCTCAGGTTTATCTGTCCTATCAGAAGCCAGAGGGTTGGGATTTTGAATTTCTGCCTCAGTCAGTCACTGGCTAACCAACTTCCAGTGATGGGGAGTGGTGGGAGCTGTAAGCTTCCAGGCAGTTCCACCAGCTTAAAGACAGTCTTCGGGAGTATGGCATAGGTGTGAGCCATGAGCAACAAAGCACAAGGAAGTTGAGGATGGGTGTACAGAGCCATTAAAGGATCCATAGTGATATTGGTGGAGCACCAATAGTGTATGATACTGAGGCAGCAGTAGAAGGGGGCTGCCTTAAATTAGAGCTCTAAGAGTCTGGGTTCTGACACCAGGTTTCATTTTCCAATGGTCTGTCTGGAAAAAGACATTAAGTACTTGATATTGACCCATCTCCTCCTGATCTAATTCAGTCCCATGCAATTTTGTAGCCTGAGCACAAGGGGCTGCTTGAGCAGCTTCCAGGGGATGAGGTGGCTCTTGTAGCAAAAGTAATTTCTCCAGAGTCTAAGAGAAAAGGTGAAGATGCCTCTTCAGGAATAGATGCTGGAAAGATGGTGGTTAATGTATATAAAGGAGGAATTGTTTCTGAAGACAGGAAGGCCACCACAAGAGGGATCAGCAACTGGCCCCAGGTGTCTGTGTTTTCTCTGAGGAGGTCTGTTTAAGGACCTCTTTCACCTTCTCTGAGCCTCCAGACACAGTCAGGCATGGAAGTGGCATGGGAAAAAGAACTTGCAGGATGTTTCTATTGTGAGGAGCCCAGGCACTGCCCAACTATTGCCACCCAAGATCTGTGCAGGGCCCTTCACATACTTTATATCTTTCTAGAGCAGTCTTGTGAGATAAGCAGCAAGCCTTCTCTGACAGGGGAGAAAGCTGAGACAAAAAAAGCTCAGGCATACCTCCAGGAGGTGATTGGTGGGCAGGATTCCCAGAGGAGTCTATCCTAATTTCAAACCCAGAAGCCTCTCACTTCAGCCAAAGAACACCTTTATATTCTAAAGAGCTTATTTTGGACAAAGTTAATCCTTGAACTGACAGCTTAAATTAAAACAAAATAAACTTCAAATGTCAATTTACATTTCAATTTTTAGGCAATTTCTGGTAGCAAAAGTAGAAAGACAATCCAAATTCTGACATGGGCAGATATTTTTGGTGAGGGCTGAATATGGGATTATTTGTATATTAAAAAAAGTGATCCCTACCCAGTGGCCAGAAAAAATGCGTTTCTCTAGAGCAGATCATTTGCTCATGTCCTGTCAGAACTGAGAATTGCATAAACAATCATGTCACCCTAAGCGATGAAAAGTAGAATCTAGTGTGTGGCTTATCTGTAGCAGGTGGACAGTGTTTAGCATATGTCTTCTGTATATTAACCTCATCTTGGGCTGCGTCTCACATTTTATTTTTGCCTCATTTTCCCATATAATGGTCGTTTGTTTTCCAGCTTCAACTCTATCTGTAATAATTATTTCTTTTAATTATAGACCATTAATATAGTTTAGCCAGGACATTCTAACAATGTCAAGGGCAGTAAATGAGACCTTATTCTACCCCTCTGTCACTTGGGACATATCCATTAATACATTTTTCATATTACAATATAATCCTCCCATTATAGCCTGTGTTTCCCACTGATTCACAAGCCCTTTAATAGCAGGAGCTAGATTTTATGCAAATCTTTTTTTTTTTACCTCCCAGATCTTTTATGCTTTAATAGCTGTTGTTCAGTATACAAGGGGTCACTAGTGCTTGGCTCATGCCAGTGGATTGATCAGTCTACACCAGGCAGGGATGATGGCTGCCATCTCATAACAAATTATCCCTATGGCTGAAAACCTGCCATGAATTATTTTGGTGTATAATAGAATAAATATGTATTTAATCAACGAAAAAACCACAGTAAATACCAGTGATATTGTCCGTTTATGTATAAGACAACATATACATCCTTCCATTCTTAAAAAGCAGGGGGGATATACATAAATATACATAGAAATATAACAGAAAAAATGTTAATTTTGGTTATCACTAGGGTCCGGAATTAGAGATGAATCTCATTTTTCATTCCACTATTCAACAATATCCAACATTTCTAACAATGAAAATGCCAGAAATACAATAAAATATATTTTAAAAATGGAAGGAAAAAATCCTTAAAAAATAAGAAGGGAGAGGATAAAACTTGTTATAAAAGCATATTTCCGCTTGGAAAGATGTGTATGTCTATGGTGAACATTGTTGCCTTGGCTGTCCAAGAATAATTAAATATATTGTCCCTCCAGAGGTACATGTACTATATTAAATTTTTACATTAGTCATTAAAGATGTATTTCTGGAGTCTCACTCTTGACAGAACGATCTTCCAAGTATAGATTTTATTTTTTACTTTAAATTATTCTCTCTACTCTCCCAATTTAAGTCACTTATTTGCAACAAAACAGTAAGTGAAATGTAACCATTTGAATGAATAAAGCATGAACTCCACAGAATGTAGCCCTCATGCTGTGCATGTAATGAAATCTATTTCTCTTTGATGATCTCAATTAAAAGAAGTTAAGAATTGGGACTGTGACTTTAATTATTTCTTGATGTATTTGTGCTTTTTGCCAGGCAGAAAAAGTAAGCAACAGCTTCTAGCAGGGTTTCCCAGGGTTGTCCTTGGCATCAGGTCTCTGGAATGAATGAGTAGGATTATTTCAGGGAAAAGGACTAATCTTAAAAATGAAAGGGTGAAAGCCCTTTGTTCCCGATGGCTATCATTTTATAACAAACAAGCCCAAAACATAGAGACAAAACAATAATCAGTCCATTTTGCTCACAATCAGTGGTTTAGGAATTCTGGCTGGGCTCAACTGGGTGATGCTTTTGCTCCATATTATGTTGACTAGGGTCACTTGATGGTGTTCAGTGGAAGCTGGTCTGGTCTGGAGGGTCAAAGTAGCTTTCACTTACTTAACCGGTACTTTGTACAGATGGCTGGGAGACGGGGCTTAGCTAATCCTTTCTTCATCTCCATGTCATTGCAAGATCTCTCTTGCGTCTCCTCTAGGAGTCTGGCAGCAACACAAGCAAGTGTTCAAGGAGGTAGGAAATGGAAGCTGCCAGGGTCTTAAGGTCTCATATCAGCATTACTTCTGCCATTATTTTTTCCTCAAAGCATACATAGAACACACTGAGGTTCAAAGAGAGGGGCATCAAGGGGTATCAAGAAATATATGGCTCTCTTTAATCCAGGCTATTCTCCTATAGGGGTATTACCCCTAGAAATAAGATACCCCAGTCTTATTGTCTCTAAACTGATACATCAAAACTCCTGGACCTTTCCAGAGAGTGGCCAAGGTCAAGTTAACCCACATTTGCATGGGACTAGATAATGGAATGTATTAGAGTCAAGGATTGACATTTGTTCCTGTTGTTCCATAGACACCCTTTAAAATCCTTAATTATAAAAAATGGGTCATATACTATATATCAAGGTCTATGATAAAAATATATTCTCTGGAGCTATGTTTAATTATAAGCAAAACTGACTCTTACCTTTTTGAGATAATTTTTTAGATAATTCATCATATATTCTAGAGAAAATAATGAAAGATGGAGTTATCTAACATATGTTAGATACATATAGAAATTCTAGTTGAGTCTTTTTTTTTTTCTTAATATGCCAGGCATTGTTCTAGGTTCTGGAGATCTGTTGAATAAGATTTTTCAAATTGCTGCCTTCTTGGAGTTTACAGTCTCATGAGAGAGACAGATGATAAGTAAATAAATACATGGACATGTAGTTTCAGGTACAGGAAAGTCCAGTGAAGAAAAGTGACAAGTAATGAGCTACAAGATGATTGTGGAGGCAGGAAGGGGGCATTTCTCTTTTGACAGTGAAGGGGGCTCTCCCGGCAAGTGACATTCAAACAGATATGTGAACAAAGTGAGGAAGGTAACCATATGGCAATACCAGAAAAGAAAAGTTTCTTTGATTTGGAAAAAAACAAGAAACACAAACTTCCTGAGGCAGAAAGCAGCTTTAACTATTTGAGCAGCACAGAGTGGTTGAAGCAAAGTCAGAAAAGCAGGCAATTCTGTTATTAAATGCCACCCAAAATTCAGTGGCTTAAATAAATAATAACCATTTATTGTCCCACATTGATTCTGTTGGTCAAGCATTCAGGAGTGGCTTGGCTGCATGGGTGTGGCTCCCAGTCTCTCGTGAGGCCACAGTCAGGGGTCAGGTGGGGCTTCAGTCAACTGTTGACTGAGGGACTGGAGGGTCCAGGAGGAAGCCTTTTTCTCTACTTGGCACAGCCTCAGAACACTAATGCAGCATCAGGACTGCTCTAATTTGTTGGTGAGAACCCAGATTCAAGGGGTAAGAGGAGAGTTAGTGTTGGGATAAATATGTGGTTTTGACTGTCTTCGGGAAATATAGTCTGCTCCAAGTGGCTAGACAATTTAAGACCTTTGTGGACCATCATAGGAAGTTAGGAATTTAGTGCAAGTGCAATGAGAATCCTTGAAAGATTGGGAAGAGGCACAGTAGGGGCATGTAGGCACAGGGGTGTCCTGCAGCCCTGCCTGGTCCTGGGGTCCCCAGGGTCTGCTGACGGATTCAGGGGGCCTCCCTGGGAACTCAGATTTACACTTTTGGAAGTTCACTTCAGATGATGTGTGCAAAATTGAGTGTAGAGTAAGAAGATAAAATGTTGCTGGTGGTGTCCAGGAAAGAAAAGTTGATGAGTCAGCTTGTTTATACCTGTGGTTATGGCAAAAAGTTTCAAATTTGGGAAAGGTTTTGAAGTTTGAGCCACTAAGACTTACTATTGGATTGGATGTGGGATTTGAGAGAGATACATTAACAAGTATTCCTAGCATTTGGAATGCAGCAAGTGGGTAGATAGTGCATCCTTTACTGAAATGGAGAAGCCTGGTCGTGGAATTTATTTGGGGGTGCTGTGGGGATCCAAATTTCCATTCTGGGCATGTCCAGTATGGTGCCTGTTGATAGGATGAACACCAGAAGTCCTAGGAATGGACAATGCAGTGGGTAGTGGGAAGGCCTTTGGTGATCCTGACAAGACATTGAAGACCTGTGATTGATAGGCTAAAGAAAAAACAAAGTAGAGGAGAGAAAATTAGGATACACATTAAAATAAGGCTTGAGAAAACTATGGAGTTTTATTGAAGACCAAAAATATTGAAGGAATTAAATGATACAACCAACATACCATGCTCTGAGTCCAAGGGACAAATCAATAATTTTCTAAACAATAGTGACCACTCACCTTAACAGTCTATCTACAGTGAACACACCAGAAGTGCCATGACATTCTCATATCACTGAAGAGGGTTCCAAAGAGGAGAGAGTTGCTACTATAGTCAGGAAAAAATCAGAGGAAGAGCTAAAAATAGGACTCTGCTTCCCCATCCCCCAGTCTGAAATCCTAGCAGTGCATGTATGCACATGCACACATGCGCACACAGATAATCATGTTTCCCCTGTTTTATGCCCTGTAAAAGGTGATTGAGTGCAAGATTATGGGCAGATAATCGTGTCCAGGCCTTAGGAATCTGGGATTGTTCAGCATATTCATTTATCTCTCAGGTTAACTATGGAAAGGGCAGATGGCACCCACCATAGTGTGGGGTACTCCTTGTTGACTCCAAGTGACCTTGGACAATGTGGGGATGAGGGGTGCCAACTGCTGCACAGTCAAAAATCCGAGCATGACTTTTGACTACCTAAAACTTAACTAATAGCCTACTGTTGCTACTGACCAGAGCCTTACCAATAACATAAATAGTTGATTAACACATAGTATATGTATTATATACTGAATTCTTGCAATAAAGTAAGCTAGAGAATAGAAAATGTTATTAATAAAATCATAAGAATGAGAAAATATGTTTACAGTACTGTATATATATATTTATTGAAAAAACTCCACACATAGGTGGGCCTGGCCAGGACAGGGACAGAGTCAGGCCTGGCTTCAGGATGGTGATGTTCTGCAGCCTGGTGGCCTGAGCTCAGCAGTGGCAGTCACCAGGTAGCCTGTGGACAACAGTAGCAGCCTGGAGCTACAGTCGAGCTGCCCCATAAGCCTGCAGGTGTACCATCACTGATGGCCATTGCAACTATAGACACAGGTAAGTGTGCCAGACCCTGGGAGGCTGTGGGGCTAGGGCAGCACTATGGGGAGGGGTTTGCACCCACCTGGGAGGAGTCTGAGGGCTGCAGCAGCCCAGCAGAACCCCAGAGCCCAATGCATGGAGGACTCATGGGGTCGGGGGACACCAGGGATATCAGATGCCCTGCACACTGTCCTCCCTGCCTTCTAAGTGCATGCCTCAGCTTCAGTCTAGCTTCCTGCCCATGATTTGACCCAACCACCCCATCAGAACACCTAGGAACCTGCAGCCCTGCCTGGTCCTAGGGCCCCAGGGGCTACTGATGGCCTTGGCAGCCTCCCTCATTACTCAGAGGGCAGCAGGCACAACCTCTGCACCAGTTGCCTTTGATTTAGTCCCTTAGAGACTGGGAGGGGCAGTTTTAAATAAATGTCATGTGGCTTTTGCCACCAAATCTTTCAAAAGAAAATCTGCTTGTAAGTGGACCTGCATAGTTCAAACCCTGAGTGGTTCAAGAGTCAACTATATATTGGTTACAGTTATCATTTAATTTATGGATATGCTTGACTGAGGTTTATAATGCACATAGACCCCCATCCCCACATGTTGACACATCCAACTTAAATGCACTGAGCACTTGCCATGTGTTGTGCTGCTAAGTGTTGGCAGTCAATATTGACATTGCAGACAAATGACATTTGGTGGAGAGAGAAGGATATACAGGGTCTCAAGTTGGGAGACAGTGTAGCCCAGCCCAGGGTTAATTACTCAATGCAGAGGGGGGTCTCTTCTTCAATGTGCCTGTGTTTATACCCTTCCAATAGGTTGCGGACAGGCCTAACCTGAGTGGGGTGAGCTAGTGAGAGGCTGTTGTTCTAACTGGCCCAGAGTGGCCTGACCAGCCCAGAGGTCGCCATGGTTCCCAGTGGGAAGTTGGAGGGGAGAGTCTCAGGCAGACATGTATGCTCCATGGACCCAAATGACTGGTACCTCTTTGCAGGCCCAACTCCTTCAGACTAGAAACTCCTCTCCTGCTCCTGACTCTCTGCTGCAACCTTAGAGGTCCTGCATTTGTCAGATACAGCAGATGTGCTCTGGGCACCAGATGCCATAGGCCTTTCTCCCAGGCTCAAACCATGCTGACTTTTAGCTGCAGTCCTTAACAAAGAAGATGGCAGCAGGAACTTCAACACCTTCCTCTCAGTGTTAACTACAGGACAAATCTGAACTCGTCCCTGTTCATCACGTCTGTCTTCAGGCTCCTCACCAGCACCAGAAACTCTGTGCTTCCTCAGAGGCTGTGGCATCAATAAAGGTTTATCTATTGAACAAGAATTCAATTTCAGGGAAGACAAATTCTGCTCCCATTTACTTTAGTGACATTTTAGAAATAGATAAATTACTACTAAAATCAAACTTTTTGTTACTAATGAAATTGGATTTTCTTAAGGCTCCATAAAATGTTCAAGCAGTACAGCTGTGCAGTCACTCTGGCGTCAAGCTTCCAAAGCAGGTGAATGATATTGTGGCTGCTGTGTGACAGAGCTTCCTGCCCTGCTCAGGTCATTAAGATTATCTGGAGACAAGTTCAGAGTTTCCTTTGGAAATAAAGGCCATGAAATTCTCTTAAAAGTTCATATTTCCTCAAGTTCTTTCTGTTTCCTTAACCTTCACTCATGCACTAAAATGTACCTAACAAACATGTCTCCTTAATATCCTTGCCCCATGGGTAGAACAACTGCATTCTAGTGCACACACATGGCTTACCCAGAGTCACACCTCCAGCTTGAGGCAGAGTTAGGGCTGCAGCATCTTTCCAGCTGCCACGTCACTCATCTCAATTGGCCATCATTTCTGCAATTTGGAAATTTCCAATTAACTTTTTTATAGATGCTACATCAAGTCCTTTCAGCTTCATCCATTCATTAATTCAACCAACCTTCATTGATGGTCACTGATGGGCTGGATTCTATGCTGGGTTTGGGGAACCTCAAAAGGGATTAGACACATAACAAAACCTAGTACTGTCTAGATTCCTGGCCTACAAAATTGTGAGATATAATATAATGTTATGAACCATAATTGCAAGAGCAACACTTTCCATTGACTCATTTAGGTTGTTGAGACTTACCTCAGACTCAGTATTTGGCTGATATTTATAATGGGCACTTAGCTATGATAACACAAATCACAAAAGTTTCTATTGTTAACTGCATACACTAAAACATTGAGATTTTCAACTATTTATTATTCTATGTCATCAAGACTTCTTGTTCAAAACAAGCCTGTTTTAAGAGAAGTGGTCTTAAGGGGGAGCTTCTTAATTCTGTGTCTAAGAGTAACCATCAATTCAAAATCAGGTGCCTGGGCTTCTAGCAGCTTTTGCCTTGTATAAGGATGTCCTTACTAACATGAAGATAATTCATATTAGTACTATAGGAATAACAGTTAAACCCCTATGGCTTTGTATTTTTTTAATTTTTTTAATCTTTGAAGGAGAAATGAAGCTAGAAAAATTTTTATGACTTATTTTTTATTTTTATATTTCTCTTATTAGAGTCAGATACTTGTTCATTTGAGTCACTGTAATTAGTTTTGCCTTGTAGTTTTATCAGTGCCATCCAAGAAGATGGGAAGATCTATGTGGTTTAGCAGTGTCTCAAACTATTTTACAGTATCCTTAGAAATTATATATTTTAGTCTAGGATTTTTTTACCTTTTAAATTCATGTGCATTTTTATGGAAAATAGTCCCATAGATTCAAGATTTATTTATATTTACAGTCCTTCAAATAGAAGTTTTCAGAAATAGTACATTTCTTTGGATCCCCAAAAGATCTATCCTAGATCAGAGTAGTTTCCTAATTCAGCTAAGTGCCTCATTTCTCATACAGAGGCTTTGGAGGCTGGAGAAATATGAGATCTCATTTCTGTGTTGTGAGGAAACCCAGCATTTTTTTCTAAAGATAAATAATAAATCATTTTCCTAGCAGGTTTAAATTTTATGAAGTATTCAAAAGTCAATAACATTTATGGCTCCAAGTAATCTACAGAATCTTTTTTTTTAAAGATTTTATTTATTCATTTCAGAGAGAGAGAGAATGAGAGATAGAAAGCACGAGAGGGAAGAGGGTCAGAGGGAGAAGCAGACTCCCCACTGAGCAGGAAGCCCGATGTGGGACTCGATCCTGGGACTCCAGGATCATGACCTGAGCCGAAGGCAGTCGCCCAACCAACTGAGCCACCCAGGTGCCTGTAATCTAGGAGAATCTTAAAAGAATTTATCCCCTGGCCTTCTGAAAGCCACAGTCCAATAACAGACTTGTGTCAGTAGTTTCAAGTTCAACACACAAGAAGGACTGTGAGATACTTACCAGATAGTCGGTGTTGACAAAGGAAACTGAGTTTTGCAAATCGCAGGAGAGCCCTTTTAGTTACAGTTCCTTTATTTTTTTTTAAGATTTATTTATTTTTTTGAAAAAGAGAGAGAGAGCATGTGCAAGCAGGGGGAGGGGCAGAGGGAAAGAACGTCTAAGCAGACTCTCACTGAGCATAGAGACCAATGTGGGCTTGATCCCACAACCCATGAGATAAGCACCTGAGCCCAAACCGGGAGTTGGATGCCTAGCTGACTGAGCCACCCAAGCACCCTACAGTTCCTTTAAAAATGAATTTCATATTTTCAAATTAAGAACTGCAGAACTATTAAGAAAGAAATCCCAAAAAAGTAAAACAATATAAACTTAAAATGAAAAAGGAAGAAAATCCTGTTTGATTTAGTAAAAAATCAGATTTTTAGAATATTTTTTGAACATTGACTTTTTCAAAAACAGTAGTATTCTCATTAGAAGTTACATAAAAATCAATTGCAGACTTCTACTTCAGACAGTGAAGTAGATATATTTGGCCCTATGTTTCCCAGTAAGTACAACAAAAATCTGGATGTTATACAAGAAAGAATGTAAGAAGACTCATAGAGGTAGAGAGAAGGCAGACTGATTAGGGACTTTGGGACATAAGACATAAGATAGTACTGAGGTTTCTTGGTTTTTGTTTTACTTCATATTCCAGATGTGGAGCTGAAGAAATGAGAAATCCAGAAATGCCAAGCAATGTGGACTAGAAAAAAACAACAACAAAAGCCTACTCTCTGCTCAGTGGATAAATGGATAAGGAAATGTGGACTATACCTACAATGGAATATCATTCATTCTTAAAAAAAAAAAGGAACTTCTAACACATGCTACAACATGTATGAACCTCGAGGAAATTATGCAAAGTCAGTAAAAGAAGTCAACCACAAAAAGACACATGTTGTATGATTCCATTTATATGAGGTACCTAGAATAGTCAAATTGATAGAGATAGAGAGTAGAATGATACTTTCCAGGGACTGGTGGTGGCGGCAGGGGGGACTGGGTGGGTGGGTGAAGAATTGTTGTTTAGGGGCACCTGGGTGGCTCAGTCATTAAGCATCTGCCTTTGGCTCAGGTCATGATCCCAGGGTCCTGGGATCAAGCCCCACATCGGGCTCCCCGCTCAGCGGGAAGCCTACTTCTCTGTCCCCCACTCCCCCTGCTTATGTTCCCTCTCTCGCTGTGTCTCTCTCTGTCAAATAAATAAATAAAATCTTTTTTTTAAAAAAAGAATTGTTTAATGGGTATAAAGTTTTGGTTTTGGAGACTGGTTGCACAATGATGTGAATATGCAAATTTACTTAACATTGCTGAACTGTATACTTAAAAATGGTTAAGATGGTAAACCACAATTTAAAAAAAAAATTCTGCTCTCTAACCAAAGATCTAGGAAAGGACTACATCTCTCCTGTACCCCTACACACACACACACACACACACACACACACACACACATTCATAACTAAGATGATGTCAAAAATGTCTGAGTAGCAATCTGAGACTTTCATCCTTGCTAAACAGTGACCAAGCCCCTGAAGTGTCAATGTGGATCCTGGTTTTTACCTTCACCTTATGGGAATACAGAAGCACACCGCTTTCCCTGCATAATTGGCATAGAGGAAGTCAACTAAATCAGAGGTATAAATAAGATCTGGAATCTTGAAACATAATAATAAAATGTCCAGTCAAAAATTCAATTAAAATCACTCCTCATAATTAGAAGTAGGAAGATCTTAAATTGGGTGAAAATACAACCAAAAGATTCCAAAATGAAGGTGACAGGTATGTTAGAATTATCTAACAAAGATTTTAAATGAGGCATTGTAAAAATGCTTCAACTAGCAATTACAAACATGCTTGAAAACAAAAGCAAAAACTAAAAAGTCTCAATAAAAAAATTGAAAACATGAAGAAGAGCCAAATGAAAATTTTAGAACTGAAAAATTTATAACTGGAAATAAAAAGCTCTGTGAATAGGTTCAATAGCATAATGGAGGGTGCAGAAACAAAAATTAGTAAACTGAATGATAGAATAAAAGAAATTACCCAATCTAAACAAAGGAGAGGGGCGCCTGGGTAGCTCAGTCAGTTAAGCATCTGCTTCAGCTTAGGTCATGATCCTGGGGTCCTAGGAGTGAGCCCTGCATCTGGGCTCCCTGCTCAGCAAGGAGTTTGCTTCTCCCTCTCCCTCTGCTCCTCCCCCAGCTCATTCTCTCTCTCTCTCAAATAAATAAATCTTTAAAAAATCTTTTTAAAAAAATAAAGAAAAATAAAGAAAAAAGATAAAATGACTAGGAAAAAAACACATAATCTCAAAAACCTATAGGAGTAAAGTAACAAAAAAAACTAATTCTGATATCATCATTTTTCTGAAGAAAAGGAGAAAAAGGGCAGGGCTGAAAAGGTACTTAAAGAAATAATGGCCCAAATATCCCAAATTTGGCAGATAAACTTACAGATTGAAAAAGTTAAGTAACTCTCAAACAAGATAAATTTAAATAAATCTACACCAAGGCATATCAGAATCAAATTTCTCAAAACTAAAGACAAGAAGAAAATCTTTAAAGCAGGAAGAAAAAACCAATTGGAATGACAGTATATATCCATCAAAAACTGTATAAACCAGAACAAATTAGTATGTGCCAAACAACAAAGCTTTCAGGTGAAGCAAAAAAATGATGGAAATGAAAGGATAAAGAGACAAACTCACAATTGTAGTTGGAGATTTAAAACTTGACCTCTCAAAAACTGATAGAATAACTAGACAGAAAATCAACAAGTATATGGAGAATTCAACAACACTACCAATCAACAGGACCTAATCAAATTTGTAGAATACTTCATCCAACAGCAGCAGAATACAGATTCTTTCCAAGAGCCTATGGAATACCTACCAAGATGGACTATATCCTGCACCATA